GAAGGAGAGGAGGGGGGCTCCGTTCTTCAGAGCCGGGAGGACCCCAAGTAAGGACCGGGGGCGCGGTGGAGCGTTTGGCAGCCTTAAGGACAGAGAGCGGACCCAACGAGACTGTCCCCCCCGAATCAGTGGGGCTCCCGCAAGTGTGGGGCTGCCCTCACTCAGGCCTTGATTCCACGCTGTGGGGCCGAAAGGAGGGGGCTTCCACCCTTGAAGGAGCAATTCTGGGGCGGGCGGGGGGATCTACACAGAGGGAAGCCCCGCGGTCTCCATGGGCCCCACGTGGGGCCTCCCTGTGGGTTTCTCCCCCACCCCTTCCTCTGGACACCCCAGCACACGTGCCTGATAACCGCAACGCCCATGTGCCCCTGGGTGGGGCGGATCCTGCTCTGGAGAGAGTTACTATGAACTGAGAGCTGTACAAGCCTGACTCTTTTTCCCCTCCACTTGGTCTTCTGATGGGGCTGTGATTTTCCCTCCCCCCCCCCGCCCCAATCACCAGCCTGCTACTATTTGGGAAGAGTTAAAAAAAAGATTTCACCCGTATTTAATATAGAGAAACTTTGAACGGGAACCTGAAGTGTATAGGCCCCCCCACACCTCACCGCACCCCCTAAGAAGCTTGGAGCGGAACTCCAAAAAAAAAAAAAAAAAAAAAAAAAAAAAAAAAAAGAATTACTGAACTTTTTAAAATGACAATTCTGAGGATTTGGAGACCCCTAATCTTTAAAACCCCCCAGCTGGGGGTGTCATGGAGCCAGGGGCTTGCTGGGCGGGAGCCCCTGGGGCGTTCTGGGTAGGAGGGAGGATATCCCCTGCTGCCCCCACCCCACCCCACCCTGAGGCTGCCCTGGTCCTGCTGAGCTCAGCTGTGCCCCTTGGGACGGGGGGGGAGGGCACTGCAAAACCACCACCCCCCTCTGTCCTCTCCTCGAGTGGGCAATTAAGAGCTATTGACTTTACAAAACCCCTGCTCCTTGATGGTGGAATAAGGATTGCCCCAGCAGCTTGCATTTCCGCATGGGGGTGGGTGAGTGGGTGGGCACTCTGGCTGTGGGGCCTCTCCTGCAGCGCTTCTGCATTTCCAAACCGACCCTGATCCTGCCGGTCCCCAGTGCATTTTTGGCACAGGGTTTTCATGGGGCGTCTGCGGCCTTTGGAACCCCCTGCCAAGGGATGCAGGACCGGCTTTCCCACGGCTCTTCTCAGGGAGGCAGGCAAAAAGGCTCATTCATCAGCCTGCGGTCTGGAGGTTCAGCCAACTGGAATACAGTTTTAGTGGCTGTTTGTTTCAGAATGTTAACTTTTAAAAATGATAACCCCACCAGAACTTAGCAGCGGAGACAGGCCGTCCTGGCGCCTGGGTTTAAGACAGGAGAGACCGTTAATCTCTAAATTCTCTGAAACGAAGAGAAAGATCGTCACACAGAAGCCGAGCTGTTCGCAGAGGTGCAAAAACTTTTATTTTGCAGCCGTCCTCGGCCCGGAGGGGTTCGCCGTGGAGCTCAGGCGAGATCTTCCTCAGAAGGGCACCCCAGCCAGTACTTGGCGATCGGCCGCGGGTATTTGGGGTACACCCAGTCCACCCGACGCGTGCGCAGGTTGAGGCGGTAGTACTTGTCTGAGGCAAAGAAGAGGAGAGGGTGCGGGGTCACCATCGGTGTGAAGATGGAACCTGAGCCACCACAGACCCTGAAGATCCCCCCCCCACAAGGTTTTTCCTGAGCACACCTCATGCAGAAAGAAGGAAAGTTATTTTTTCCAAAGGAGTCCTCCCAACCCCATCTAGACTACATGATCAGTCAAAAAAGTAACTTTTACCAATAGTTGTTTGCAGGCCCTTTTTTTCTGTACCCATTCCTCTACTCCCCCTGCCCGACTGTCAGTTCTTGTGGGAGTGAGTTCCACCAGCTCATTCAGGAAATACTTTCCTTTTCGGAAGCTCCCTACGAGCGCTGGAGTTGGATGTAGAGATTCTGGGATGTGGTGGATGCCTTGGCCCTCTCTCCCCCCCACTGATACAAAGAGGCATCGATTCAAAACCTCCTTACTCACCGTCGACAAAGAAGTAGACGCTCTGGAATGGCTGGCAAGCCGTGGTTCCACTCAGGAGCCAGTCCATTTCATCAGACTCGGAGCTGTCGCCGTGCCAGTCCCAAAGGGAATCCAGTCGGCCCCAGCGCTGCCGGCGGCGGTACTTCTTCCGGTGCCGGCGCGAGGACTTCCTGCTCATGTGGCGCTGCGGTGGGCTCTGGGCCACGTACAGCCTCCCCAGCATGGCGGCGTCCACGTGGTTGGGGATCCCTCGCCAGTCGCGGCTGATGAAACGGGGCCTGCTGGCTCCACCTAGAAAAGGGGCTGGTGGTGAAGACGTTTAAGGAGGCAGAGACAAACTATTTGTTTTAGACAACACCTCATTGTAGGGAAATTCCTTAAATGCTGATAGCATCTGATGGCCACAGCGTCAGATTGTCAGGTTGCTTTGTTTCCTGATTGGCCTTAAGGGCCATGGCCTTCATCAGCAAGTCTGATTTCCCAGGCATGGAGGTTTGCTGGAATTGAGTCTCTGGCGAGAGGGACTCTGGGAAAGTCATAGCCCAGAAATGGATCTTCATCTAGAACACAGAGGGGAGGGCCCATGCACACCAAGCCACCCCACTTACTCCGCCGGCTGCCCCCGAAGAGGATCTCGAAGATTTCGTCCCAGCTGTCCGCCTGCAGCTGGGCGTAGTGGTCGAACACCACGGACGGAGAGGTCTCCTCGCACGCCTGGCGGCTCGGCTGGTTGGCAAAGTCGTACGACCAGTACTTGTTCCCTGGGAGGCGCCAGAGAGACACGGGTGGGTCAGGAGGGATCTGGAGCGGAACGACCGACCGAGAGAGGCGCCGCCTGAGAGATTCCGCTGCCCGGGGCAGAGCTGCGAAGGGAGGCCTCCCTGGTCTCGCCCCTTCGAGGGCACAGGGAGGAGCCCCTTCCCGGGCTTCCGAACGCTCCTCGGGCCGGCTGCTGCTCTCTCGGCTCGGCCCTCCCTCTTGCAGGGTGGTTCTGGCGAGGGGGGGGCAGGAGGGAGAGAGCCCCACAGGTGGTTCAGGGGGGGGAGGAGGAGGGAGAGGGTGGGGTCCCAAACGGGCACCTTTGAAGAAGTAGGCCCTCTCGCTGGAGAAGTAGTTCTGGGCCGGCAGGGCAAAGGCCGCGTCCAGGTGGTCGGGGATCCCCTTGAAGCCGTCGGAGATGTTGCGGGGAAAGCCCGGCTCCAGGACCCCGTCGGCCAAGCGCCAGTAGAGCCCCCCCTGCAGAAGCAAGAGCCGCGAGGCTGTGAGGGGGGGCGGCGGCAGGAACCAGGAAGGGGTCCCTCCCCCACGGCTAGCCCAGGGACTTGGAAGCCACAGGTGTGGATCTGGTAGCCTCCCCCACCACCACTAGTCTCAGAGGAGCAAGGAGGGGGGACCGGGCTGCTTCCTTGAGGAAGGGAGAATGGGCTCTGCGCATGCCCAGGGGCACCCTGTCTTACGATAGCACACATCACTAGCAAGGAGATTCTGGCCCAATCTTTGGAAGACCTTCGCGACAGCAAGGGCTGCTTGGAAAGGTCTTTTGAGAAGGGTCGGACAGCCCGCTCTCAAGGATGCTTCCCTGTGATGGAAGGCATGGGGTTGGTCTAGATGACCTTCAGGGGAGGGTGGAACCAGGGAGCCGCCAGGCTCTGCTGAATTCAGGAGTCCCCCTGGCCAGATCCGGGTTGGGTCGAGGCTGAGAACCGGGAATGCCTACGCCTCACCTGGAAAAGGTACGTCTTGCCCTCGCAGTTGATGCGGGTGAAGGCTGCGTCAATGGGTCCCTCAATGCCCCACACCTCCTGGATGAGTTTGGGGTACCCTGGGCGCGCGGTCTTCTCGTCCAGCTCGTAGAAATACTTCCCTGGGTCAGGAAAAGGAGGAGGCTGAACGGGATCTTTTTGCTCCCCAGTCTTTCAGTGGGAGGATGGGTGTGGGTGGGTGGGTGTGCACACACAGAATCAGATCCAGGAGACGCGGCCCTCCCCGAATCCCCTCTCCCTCCCTCCCGGCCAGGCCGTACCACGGAAAGCATAGATGGAGCCGTTCTTCAGACTGGTGAAGGCATCGAAAGGTTTTCCACTGCACAAAACCTCCTCTTCCGGCCCCACGGTGGGACCCTCCTCTGTGGGGGGGAGCAGGTCCCCCCCAGGGGGCACGCTGGCCCCCACGTCGGCTTCATCCACCCATGTGTAATCGGAGAGGGTGGCTGTCGGCACCTCGGGGGCGGCGGTGGCAGTGGCGGTGGGCACGAGGGCCGTGACGTTGCTTGGATCGAAGTAGTCTAGATAATCATCCTCCGGCTGTAGGAACATGTCTCCGCGGGTCACTGAGAAGGGGGAAAGCATGACTCATCATCCCCAGGCTGTGGGTTGCTCAGATGCAATCCCCCCCTCCACTTTTCTTAAGTCCATCCCCATGCTTGACACATGAGCCCTCAGAGCAGGCCTGGGTTTCTCTGAGCATGTGCAGAGTGCTTGCACAGGGGTAGCCACTTCATCAGGGCACTGACGGAGCTTTGAAACTCCCTCCTTTCCTGGAGGGCAGAAGGATCCACACCTTTTATGTTTATGAATCCCGGAGGCCCAGCTTTGGGGAAGTGTCTGTTTCATTCCTTTTGGACTACAAAGCCCAGAATCCTGCTGGTTGGGGGCCTCTGGGCCTCACCAGCCAAAACAGCGAGGCTCAATCCCCCCCCCCGCCCAAGACCAGCCTGGGCTGGGCTCACCTTTCGCTTTGCAGACGGTGGCGTAATCGATGCAGCAGCTCTGATAGTAGAGACACAGGTCATCGCACTGGCATTTCTTCTGGATGTCGAAGCCCGCCTCGCAGCGCCCCTCGCAGGACTCTGGGGGGGAAAGACACCAGGGGGCTGTCTCCACCCTGGCCCAGAAACAGGGCACCCCCCTACCCACAGACAGAGGGGCCCCGGGCGTCTATTCCCCCCCCTGGGGCTGTTCCAGCGCGGAGGGCCAGTCTACCAGGCCGCCAGCAGCCTCAGCTCTCCCACCCCACTCCCCTGTCCCCAAAAGGGGCCGCCCCACAGCGGGTGCCCTTCTGCCCGGAGGAGAGGAGGCGGAAGAGGGCTCGGAGAGCCGTCCTCCCACAGCGTTGTCTCCTGTGGCTCCAGAGGGTGAGACCTTGAAGCCACGGGTTCAAATGACAAGAAAGGCGACGGGGACTCAACCAGAGGAAAAAAACTTTCCAGTGGTGACGGGTGTTTTGAATGTGGGACTCCCGGGGGGGGAGCGGCTCTCCTTGCCTGCAGGGCGGAGGGTCCTCCAGTCGGTCTTTTCCTGCCATAGGCCTCAACCCCAGACAAGGGGGTGCCCACCTTGATTGTGGGGGGAAGGATTATTCCCCCCTGCTCGTGGGCTCATACTGAAACAGTTGAGTTTGCTTTCAAAAGGTTTCCCAAAATCACATCCTGACCTCTCCATGTGTCAAGGAGTTCCAAAGTTGAATTTTTGGTTGATGGAAGAGGTATTCTTTTACGGCAGATGGAGGGCCCCCCCCTCCACTCTGCTCCAGTCCCTCCAAAACCGAGCTGGCTCTGCCACATCCCCCCAAAAGCGAAGGCCCCCAGACAGAGGGTGGGGGCTCACATGATACTCACCCTCGGCTCCGAAGGCCCCGAACATCATCCAGCCCAGCAGGAAAGCCAGGCGAAGGAGCCTCATGGCGAACATCCGAGAGCCCCAGCTGTACCCCCTTGGCCGGCCAGATCCGTTGTCCGTCCGTTTCTCCCCTGGCCGCGGAGAGAGTGTTTGCTCAGCCTCGCCTCTCTGCTCCGAGGGAAAGATGGCAAGGTCAGCAGGATGCCCCCCCCACGCCTCCACTGCTGCCTCCCGCCCCTCTCTTTTGCAACCTCTCCGGCCTTATCGCTGCTGCCCTGCGGACTTTCTCTGGGAGGGTCGGCAACTGGAAGGCCCCGGGGTCAAATCCGCCTTCCTGCTTGCTTTCTCCTCTCTGGTCCATCGTCAGCCTGAAGGAGCCGCTTCTTGACTCCCAAGCGGAGCCGAGAGTGGGATGCTGGGGGACCCCCAACCCCAGCCCCCCCCATTTCAAAGCCAGGCCGGCTCTCTCATCGGGCAAAGTGGACAGAAGCCTCAGGCGGCAAAGTTAGGGTGCTCAGAAAGGGCAGAGCCCAGTAGGAGTTAAGGAAGGAACTGATCTCCCAATTTTTATAATGACTTCTCTTCATGAAAAGTTCCAGAAGGTCTAACTCTAATCTCACCGTGTTTGCAATTTTTCAGAAATCCAGTACATCAAGCTCCTGACCCACCTCAAGTTTTTCTCCCTCCCCTAAAGTAACTGTAGCCAAAGTGAGGGAGGCTGGAACAAAGTAAAGCTTGGATTGCCACAATTAGCAGCAAATGATGACGTTTTAAACTCCGTAACAGAGACTTTTGAATGAGCCTCTTTCTTTTTTAAAAAAAGTAACTTTCAAAGTATTTTGAGTGTGAAAGGAAGAGGGGGGGTGTTGTAAATCCTTTGTGCCAAATTAACCGTGCATGGACTACCTTAGGCCAGCCTTGGCGGTTGTGCCTCAGGCAGCAAAATGCCGTGGGTCAGCAGGCTGAAAATACCATCCTGGGCGGGGGGGGGTGCCCCCCTGGCTCTCCACCCAGTACTGGAGAAGGTTGGGACAAACTCTGGCCCGGAAATCCTCCCACAGCGAGCTGGAGGCTAGGGTGAGCTCAGGCTGTGACAAGGGGAAGCGAGAGGCTCAGGCTGTTAGGATTTAGCCTTTTCCAGCCTTCTAGCCCTCAGTTAAATCAATAAAGAAACAAACAAACAAATAACAGGGACCTGGTGCCCTGCCCAGGGAAGAAACCCAGGAAGGGGGGGGGGGAAGAAGGCTGCAAGAGGAATCCTGGAGTAAGGCCCCTGCAGGATGCTTCCTTGACCCGAGGCCCTTCCGTGAACGAAAGTGCCCAAAAATTCACTTTCCAGGTAAACTCACCCCCTCCTCCGCCCAGCGTGCCCCCCCCCCGGCCAGCCCTGGTCAGCTCTGCAAACAAAGCCTGGTGGAATTTGCTCCTCGGTCTCCTGCCCC